CTGGCGACCGAGCGGCAGGGCAGACCTTGCGTCTCCCACCTACCTTTCTCTCTTGCTTGGGAATGAATAACCCAGAGTCTGTGACGTGTCTAACAAAGCTGATGTTTAAGGCTCAGATATGCAAGTAGGGTGTAGGTCTGGGGGGCATCAGTGGTGTCTGTGGCCTCGCTGGGATGAGGCCATCTCCTCACAGCTCTTCCCTTCTCCCCAAGGAAATCAACCAACCCCCAGAAATAAAAAACCTTCTTCCCAGAGAAACTGCGGGGAGAGCTTTTCACCCCTGGGATTTATGCAGTACCCAAGCAGTGCAACAGCAGCCCTGGGCTGTGAGCAGCAGAGTGCCGCAGGGGCGCGGGTCTGTGCCATTGCACAGAAGGAACAATTTCCGTATAACCAGAATGCAGGAAATAAGGGACCCCCCCAGCCCTGAGTGCTGTCTCCCTCTCACGTCAGCCCTTGCTCTCTCCCAGTGCTTGCTGGCTTCCCTTAGCTTTCGGCACTGGCAATGAGCAGCTTCAGGACTCAGTGCCTTGCAGCTGCTTTTATGGCTGTGGGACTCTGCCTCAAAAAGTGTCTGGGCACCTGCAACAGCAGACTACACCTAGAGAAACCGAGGGATCTGAGCAGATGGGAGAGCTGAGGAATCCAGGTGGAACTAGAGCAAAGAAAACCTTTCCACTAACCTCACTGGAAGGCGAGCTGTGTTTGCTTAGCCTTGTTCCAGTGAATTTAATTAGGATGGCAGGAGGTCGGAGTTGGGAGACCTTAAATGTAGGATGTGCTTCTGCACCCCCTCTTTCGCAACCCAGAAAACCTCCCTTTAGGTCAGTGTCTCCCCTGCCTAGGGAGGACAGCCTCCCAGCAGTAACCAAACCCCAGCTCCGCGCTGGCATGGAGACCCAACAACAAACAGCCTGGCCTGGGTGCCTGCCCAGAGTGCCTTTCCGAGGAAGTCCTTCTGGGAAGATGTTCTAGGAACGTCTCTTCCAGACATCAGACCCCCGCCTCCCACTGGCTCTGATTTGTTTTTCCTGAATTCTTGGTACAGAATATTCAAAACCAGGAAAACCAGAAAGAAAACTTGGACCAGAGGCTCTCCAGCCTGTTCAAGAAGGGACGAAGGAAAACGGTTGTCAGGAATCTGGGGAAAATGATCTATTACTCCAAGGTCAAGTTTAAGTTTCAGCACTGCCAGGTAAGCTGCGGCACCTGTTTGTGGGCGTTTCTCTTCCCAGGCGCAGAGTCACCCTGCAGCACTGAGAAATAAAGTGTAATTCTGGGAAATCTGACTCACGGAGATTTCTCTGGGCTAGTGCATGGCCCAGGGACTTCTGCTGCCACACAGCGCAGGGGTACTGGCTGGCTGGCGCCCGCTGGTTCCTTATCCCAATGGGGACCTGGGCCGTGCTTCCATGCTCAGCTGCTGGGATGGCAGCAGATCCAGCAGCAGAGATGCAGTGGTGGCCCTTGGATAAGCGACCGCTGGCTTTTCTGTGCACAGATCAGTCTGAGATGCAGAGGGAAGCTGGGAGGAGGAAGGCATCCTGAGATAAACCCCAGAATGTGTCTTTTCTGCAGGAGGTGAATGACTGCTTCTTGGAGCTGTTCCAGTCTTACCTGTACTTCCAGTCCGTGGGCTCCAATGGACTCACCTACCAGGTACGACATCTCCCGGACACGCCGGGGCAAGCACTGGGGAGTCGGGCAGCATGGCCAGGCTGGGGGCACTGGGCGGATGGGATGGGACGGGGCAGGGGGGCTCTGCTCCTGGGGCTGCCACTGGCCTCCCCTAGGTGATCTCAGCAAGTCCCTTCCCGTGGATGCCAAGCTCCTGGGGGAAGAGACCATTTCTTCCTAAGGACTGTACCCAGACAACCTCAGGTTCACCTGGGTCCTTGGCCTTGTCTGTGGGGAGATATAAAGGACCCCATAGAATCATAGAATCGTTTAGGTTGGAAAAGACCTTTAAGATCATCCAGCCCAACCATTAACCTACACTACCAAGTCCACACTAAACCAATCAAGGGTAGACTAGACTAAACCATGTCCCAAAGTGCCACATCTGCCCTTTTTTTGAACACTTCCAGGGATGGGGACTCCACCACCTCTCTGGGCAGCCTGTTCCAATGCTTGACTACCCTTTCCATGAAGAAATTTTTCCTAATTTCCAACCTAAACCTCCCCTGGCACAGCTTGAGCCCATTTCCTCTTGTCCTAAAATAGAGGTGGGATAGGGGCTTGTGCAAGGCTGGCAGGCAGGACCAGGGATGGGAGGTGTTTAGACTGCCTGGGCTTATCTTTGTGTAGAGCACTAAGCACAGAGAGCTGTGCCTTGGTGAGGGTCAGAGCTCCCATTGCTCAAAATCCCACTGGCCTTGGTGCAAATGGTGGACTTGGCCCCAGCTTCTGAACCGAGGGGGAGTTCTTCATCTGCAGGGCAGAGAAAGAGGCATGTGGGAGAGGGTGGAAAGAAGAACCCGAGGGCAGCCTCGGGGAGCTCTCCTGGCAAACCATTCATCAATCTTTTAACCTGATGCTGGATGAGGCTGTTTTCCACATGCAGCCAAAAAATCACAGGCGAACAAACAGGAAGCCCTGAATGTGCTCTCCCTCTACGTGAGTGCGTAACTAAAACTGAGCATGGCTGTTTTGTTCATAAAATTTGTTCCTTTTAGAAAGTATTTCTTTTCTTCTGGGTGACTTGAGGTTAATGCAATATGCCAATATAATCTCGAGTCATCCGGCAAGCCAGCCTTCAACTGGAAAGACACATGTCAGAATACAAGCAGTATTACAAAATCTCCCATCTACTTTATAAGCAGTTCCTTAGATTATTAATTCTAGAGGAATTAAAAAGGAATTAATGTGCCACTACTGGCCTCTAGACATTACAGCAATTAGCATCTTTTACGGTCCTTGTTTAGAAAGCCCAAGACAGGGAGCACAAACTTGTCATCTGTTCTTGTGCGTAGTTGTAGGGAGACTCTGATGAACTGGAGTATAGAAACCGGACAGCTCAATTTTGCTTTATGGTCATTTCCATCTTCTGGCTTTCTTGTGTTAAACCAGCAATGTTTTTTTGAGGTTTCTCTCAAAATGGAAAGACTTGGAATATAAAGAAAGTGTTCTTGCCAGCATGGCAGGTGATTACTGCAGTACTGGCCCCACAGAGCCCAGGGAGCTGCTGAAC